TATATCATATATATTCTCATTTTTCAGATTGAATTATTCGTTATTTATCTTCTTATAGATCTCTTGAAAAAAATCATCGAGAATAATTCGCCAATAATTCGTCAATTAAAAATTTCAATTATGATGACGAAATCTTTCCTAAGCTTGAGAAAATCATCATATTGAGTGATATAGGATAATTTCAAATATATATAAGAAATTTGAGTTATTGCTAATAAATCATAAACTCAGACTATTCGAATATATCACTTATATTTCATATTTTCTTTTAGATATTTAAAGCTTGTCATCCATAATAATTTTCAATAGCTAAGATCCAATATTGCATTTAGAATATATGATATTGAAATTCTTATATATTCTTATCAATTTTCGGATTTTGGGAATATCGTCAAATATTTCCTGCTGGAAATTGAAAAGCTTCTGGCTTGGAAGATTTCTCGATTTTGTCAGTTCTAATATGATGCCAAAAATGAATATATTGGATATGTCATTCATCATTTCTGATCAGGATTTGGAATATTTTGAGATCAATTTTCCCTTCTTCAGCTTAAAGCTTCAGATCCCGTCAGATGAATGAAGCTGGGGATTTGTCTGCCAAGCTACATAGTCTGGGGATATTGGAGCTCATCTTGCAGATATTTTGAATATAAGATTCATTAGATTTAATAATCAATATTCCGCATCAATCATTATTCTTATTTATGAATAATTTTGTGCTATATTTTGTCTCGAATCATTTCTCCATCCTGTTTTATGGTTTCTGTGCAGCCAGTCTTCCGAAGCGTGTTATCGATGATTCTTGCGGTCTTATCGATATCTGTGCTATCTGGCATCTATCATCTCCAGCCCTAGTCGCCATAGCCCCAAAGATATAGATTTACCTGTCTATTTATATTTTCTAACAATTATCGTGCTAAGAACGTGCATGGATTTGATATGGAGATAGAATAATCTTTTATAGATTCTGAGAAATTTCTGAATCTTTTTCATAATTTGGATCATGATTCTGCCATAAATCATCTAGTATCAGGATTCGTTTTGGGTAAGATTTCGTTATTTATTTCTAATCTTTGAATAATCGATCATCTCGTAAAAAGCACGAACAAATGAGCGTTTGACTCAAAGGAACAATCCCTAAAATCCAAATAAATTCATATATATATTTCAGCTCCTATTTGTGGTTATATCAATATAATGATAATAATAATTTCATTATAGGTGGATATATTATGTAGAATTCTATATAATTCGATATGATTATTGATATATATTTCTATATATCAAATTGATATCATATTATATTTATAATGATGAATCTATATAAATAATATACAAATAAGATAGGTTGCCTGTTATCAATAAGATATTAAATATTATCGTGTAGATTCTCAAAGCTTGGATATATAGATATATAGATATATATATATATGTACGCTATCACATAAAATTTTTAATGAAAATATATATATATACGAATATATGGCAAGGGAATACGTATATTAATATCAATTGCAGACATTAGATTTAGAAATATTCTGGAATATTAGATTTTATATACTATTTGAAAGATTTCATATTTTTTATTATATTCGTACTCGTCATCGTAGTCGGAGTAGCTTCTACAACCGTAAAATCAGTCATAAAGCTTGTAGGCCCGTAAGGCCCGCAGAATAAAGTCCCGCAAGGACCTATAAAGATCCGTAGGGCCCGCAAGACCCGTAGAATCAATACGTAGGATCCGTCCAGCCCGTACAACCCGCAGGACGCGTACAGCGCACCACCCATCAAGACCCGTAGAAGATTCGTAGATCCAACGAAAAGTAAAATTAATTTTCTTTTCAAATATTATGACCAAATTGAGCTCAATCATATATGCATAAACCGATTTGGAGATTTTAGATAAAGATATTTCGATAATTGAATTGCTAAAAAATATCTTCCAATTTAATATTCGGATTTAGCTCCCGACAAAATTATATATTAGATAGAATAATATATTTTTTTATATATATCAAATTTTAAATATATATGCTCTTCTCTTATCAATTTATTCCCATATTCCGACAAATATTAATAAATCATCAATATATCATTTACTTCATCGATATAATATAATACGAATAAAATCGAATCAATTAAAAAAACATCATATAGATATTTAAATAAAGATTACCATCTTAAAATTATCGAATATATTTCTATTTACTATCTATTCACCTATAATATATATTTAATCGTAAACAACAATCTTATTACCTATTTAGAAATATCTAATATCAATATTAAATTCAATATTACGATTCTTAAATCAATTCCTTAGCTTTCATTTAAGAATCATTATTTATAAATATATTCATAAATATCGAATTTCTTCTCCATAATAAACCAAATAAATTACTAATAGTAATTAATATCATTCCTAATCTCCAATTTTATTAAAAACAAAATCAAATTTTAGAGAAGTCTATAAATTAATTCTTTTTCTCTAATATAATAAATCTACCACGATAATATATCCAAGCGAATCATTAAATTCAATTTCGGCCCCCAATCCACGATACCTCCTAAAATATATATGCCCTCGAATAGCCCGTCATTACACAACATTTCCCCCGATTTCAATCTACGATTCCCCTCACGATATTTACTCCCCAACCCACACACTCTACGACATCCATGCCCCCTCACCCACCACCCCAAAGACGCACATTCACTCCCCTGAAACTCGTTCTAGTCCACCACTCCACGACATTCCCCACGCGACTACAAATACGCCCTCGTCGGCCACTCCGCGACATAAAATAATTCATGTCATATCTTATAATATAATATAGCATGATATCATAGAATATAACATTATGTAATATATTTTACATATTATGATACATGTGCCTTAATACAATATAACATACTGTCCGAAAAATAGAATAATACAATACAATGCAATCTCTTATAATGAAATATATACTTTCATAACATATTATCCTATGTTACAATATACTATAATACGTTCTTATATGTAATGCCACTTGGTAAATCAAGAGTTGACTTAAATTCATCAATCTTCTCTCGACACGGCTATATTGTTTGGATGCAATACAATACAACAGCCTCTTTCGTTCATGACCGCATGATTTGGAAGTGATACAAAGAATTATAGTTGCTCCTCTGCGAATGCGCATCCCTTTAGATGCGACAGCCGCGTCAAGCAACATGTGCGGTTGCTTGCACATGTGGAAGAGCTGCCACTGTTGCAACACAACGGCTTAGCCATCTTCCGTGATGCTGCGACGAAATGAATGATACCGAACCCCTGCAGGAGCATCTCGCAGACTGCGCAGCCAAGCAATGACCGCGATGACAGTACATTAGTTCAGGACGCATGCCACATGCAGTCGAAAGAAAAAGATGAACATGATTGTACGTGGGAGCGGTCGAACGGTCATGATTGCAGCCTCAACCACTGTTCGATTTGATTAACGTCCCCACCTCTCGCAGCGGGAGCTTCGTAGAAGACTGGGCACCTACCCTGACTGCAGCATGCAGTATAAGAATGACACACTGTCGCGAGTGGGGAGCAGGAAAGGAAAAGTGCATACAGCGCGGCGTATTGCCTGCGGCAATGGCAAGCGCAACGGTGCCACGCGTCTTGTCCAAGATCTAAACTTGGGAAGAAGCTGTGGCGTGGCCACATCAACTCTTGGCAGAATTGCCTTGTCTTTGCAATTGTCCGCTTGTCATGTGAGTGAAACTGCGTCGCAGGTTTCCTCTTGTTCCAGATTTTTCTGAGAATGCTAGAGATTCCCTTTGCATATGGAATCATAAACCGTTCGTCAGGAAACCTACTGCACCATGTAAGCTGTCACTGTTTGTCGAATCAGCATCATCGTGCTCATGGCACCTTACACCAGAGACTGACATCACAGGAGGTGTGGTCAAGCAAAGTCATGCTCTTCCGATTCGACCTCGAACGCCGGGCCTCACTTGCTGACCGGCACGCCGATGTTGACACGTAGTGTGCCAACCTCGTCAATCACCCCCTGGTACCTGAGCTGCCAGCACGTGGAAGCAGCATGTACTGGGCGGCTTCACAACGAATAAGGCGAATACATGGACTTGCCACTGTCTCTCAATGATAAGGTCAGATCTGCCTGGCAAACACAGCCAAACATGAGCGTCACACGTGGCTTCTGGTGGTTACAAGGCCACGGAAGCCTCATCCGTCTCAAGAAGGTCATATCCAAACACCTGGTCGGAACAAGAGGAGTCTGCAGAGTAGTAGCCTAGCATGTAGACTTCTGACTGGCAGTACTTTGATGAAAAATCAAAGGTAAAAATATGTTCAGATCAGCATGGGCCTGCACATCCTCCTGCACACGGCTTTCCCGAAAGAGGCTGAAGTCTGTGTTGCTTTCTACCTGGCATTGCCAAGGGAACTGCAAAACTCATTCAGCACTGTTCTGCGTGTGGTCTCCTGCCTTGATGCCTTCCAAACACCGGTGGACAACACTGTCCTGTTTCAGGGACAACACCTCCACTGCCTGCGGCACCTTCACAGAGGAGACACGAGCCGACTCAGGAACATCAAGCTGGTGGTGACACACCGGCCTGGGGGAAAATGATCTGAACGAACAACCTGACAGAGCGAAACGAACGAACAAAGCTGCTGCACACAAAATGGACAAAACAAACATGCAGTCCGTGTGCCGTCTGCTCCATCATCAAGCGACAGCTGAGATTGCTGGTGCGACAGAGTTTGGGAGGTGTCTCCAGCAAAACAAGATCCTCTTGTGCACACCCCGCACAAGTGCCTTGCACCAAAGATCAAGTGCTCCAGGAAGGCGAAGAAGACGATCTAAAAGTGTCAAGTCAACAGCTGTGTTTAATGTGACAACATGCATCGACCTGATTGGCACTTATGCTTACAGGCAAGATTGCGAGGTGCATTGAGCGCGGGCCTTCTCCGTGATCGTCCAACTAGAGTATTGCGAGGACGTGAAGATCAACAACAGCACGTTTGTCAGAGCTGCCATTACTCCTGCCAACATTCAGGGTTATTGATATACTCATTCAATTGCGAGCATCAACACGCAAAGACGCACCATAGATTTCGAAGGCAGTGCCCCACGGCCTGAGAACAGCAGAAATTTCAAAAGATGATCTCAAGGAATTCCTCGGCTTTTCGCTTTTCTGAGCCCCGGTCTCATTGTTCCTCGCCTGGGTTGGGAAAGGACGCTGTCTGCTGTCCAGAAGACCTCGGTAGTACCGCGGTCGTGTTCGGCTTGATTCGCTACAGGTAGACCTCATTCTCCCCTGAACTGGCGCGAAAATGATCTGTGCCGAGCAATGCCACAAATTGCAAAAATAGATTCAGAGATTGAATTAACAGGGAGCTTTTCCGCGACATGCGCATAAAGAAGAAACGACGGTTCTAGCGAGCTAAAGCGCTTACTGAGGCTTTGGGCCTCATTACCTTTTTGCTGGGGGGGGGTGTGAGAATGGGGCGTAATGCCACTCCTTGTCAGGAAAAAGCCACACGAATTCGAGACGATGGGCGAAGCTCGCATTGCCCACCACAGTCATGAAGTACCGAGGTCCAGGCTTCTCATGTCAACCCAGATCTCCACGAGGACAGCCAACAGTGTCTGGCATGGCACGCGAAGTCGCTTACACTGAAGCGAACTGAGGACATTGCGCCCTACAGCTACAGGGCTGCATGCAGAATGGTCACAGAGCACCAAGCTTGCAGAGCACGGCTTCACTCCATTGGATCAAACAGGAAGGCGCACTGCAGTGCAGACCCAAGGAGACGTGACTGCAAAGAGTGTGGCATAACCGTGCCTTGGGCATCGACCCTGAACATGTTCTACACATCTGAGCTTCCAAGCTGCAGTGAGGCTTTGACGTCAGAAGCATCTCGTCAAACTGATCGAAGTTGCGGTGCTTTTCCTAACAGCCCGACGTCTGGGCTTGCCACAGGCCATGAAGAGTCTCATTTCGAGTTCCCTGGGCCTTCTTTGCCTGCTGCTCCGTGGCCGACATTTCCGCCAACTCCAGGACTTGGCCTCGACAGACTTGACCATGAACTAGACCTTGCAAGTTGCAATGAAGCGCGAGGCCATGGTAGAAATTCTCGAAAGTCATCTTGTCGTACGAAGACCTGCGATGGGGTGGCAGGAGAATGGCAAGCAACGCGCTGACGGTTTGTTGAAGCAGAGCACTTCGAATGACTCCCAGCGCGGACTGGCTTTTGTTCATGCACGAATCGCCCGGCACGGCGTTGATGTCCGTTCTGCGCAATCTCCATGCTGCAGATAGCTCTTCAGCACGCACCGCTTGTCGTCCAGAGCGGCTCGTAGAACATCAGGGGGGAACGGGCCCAAACTCCGGTCTCCTCTGGCCATCTCACCAATCATCCCACCTGAATTGCATTGCAGCACACACATGTCGTGAGAGTATCATGTTTAATCGCTTTAGCTGCCATATGCTGCCCCTGAAATTCTTCGCCCGGCGGCCCAATTGTCTCTACCACAGTGAACTCTGCCTTCGGCTTCTGGTCATCAAGGTCGTCTTCAGCGCGACGCTTCTGAGATCCTACAGATCGTACGGAAAAAGTTGATCTGCAAACGGAACCGGACTCGCAAAGGCTCCCTGCTTCTCGATTTGGGCATTGCAGCCTGTTCGGTCTTGCTGCGCCGGCTGGCCGCTTTCTGCTTGGGGATTTTGGTCTTTTCCTGGCCAGGAACGGATCATGATGTACCAGAACTGCAGGCTTTAGCAACATGAGCAATGCAGGAGTGTGGCCTGACAGCTCAGAAGTCTGGAAATCGTGAGCTGGCTGGGAACATGGCTGCTGTTTCTGCGACATGCGTCTGGCTTCAGAGACCGCACGTAGGTTTTCCTACGGAATGCACAGGCTGAACAAAAGATCCTGCAGTTGACTGTAATCTCGCATGAGCCAAGTGGGCACATCACCGGAGTTCAAGACACTCTGGACACGCTTGACAACAATGTCGATCGTTCTGCCCCGGCACTGGCGGAGGCACAAACTCCGAAACCAAAGACGTATTTTCGGAAAGAAGTGCTCAAACCTGAGAGATACTTGGGCGGTCAGGCACGAGCCTACGAGCCTGAAACATGCAAGGCGCAGATCTGAGGTGAAGACACGTTGGAAACAAAGAGCCGGAACAGCACGAAGATTCTGCAGGCAATCGCGAGACACCACTCAATGCTGCCAGCTAGGCCATGTCAGAAGCTCAACGGTCACATCACAAAAGGCGCACCCCAGCTGGGCTTGTATGTCCAGGAAGCACTGATCTCCTGGAGCAGCGACGGAAGACGGCCACAGTGCAGCACCCACTTTTCTAGAGCTTGGCGTAGCAAAGAGTCTCTGTTTGTGCTGCCCGACCGATTCAAGCACGAGGGAGCGAGGCTAAATTTGAGGAGAGACACGCGGGTGATATGGCTCGCGTACTGACGGCCGTAGTAGCATGCGTAATTCTAGTAGGAATAGTATAGTAACAGCTCAGCGGCCGAAAAGATTTCAGTACATGTAAAAGCAAATCATGATCGTACCCGTACTACTAATCGAAATTATTATGGCAGCAATCGCAATAACAAAAGCGATCGCAATCATTAGAAATTGTAACAACTGTAGTAACAACAATAGTGGGCAATAGGAGCAGGAAGTCAAATAAACATAGTAGCAGTAGGGATAGCATGGGCAACAGGAATAGTAAATGTCAGAGCAATAGAGCCGTTCATTCCAGCCGAACGTAAAGATCTTCAAACAAGGAAAACTCGGAGCCGTTCTGATTTCTGGCCAAACACAGATGACCTCGGCACATGAGCCAAACTGCAACTGCTGATTGTTGCAATACCGACTGCTGCACAAGAGTTTAAAGCCAGAAGCCCATAAGCTAAAAGCCAACAAGCAAAAGCCAAGTTGACAATGCCCAGAAGCCAAGAAAGCCGAAGGCCAGAATGACAAGGAAAAGAACCCAAAAGCCAGGAAGCCAAAGAGCCAAAAAAGCCAAGGGCCGGAAGCCGAGAAGACAAAAGCCAAGCATCCTTAAATAGGCCTCCCCAAATAAACCCTGCAGCACTGCGGTTAAAGGAACTGCAAGAGCTTGCGGAGGCGGGGTGTCGCTGTGGCGTGAAGAGCAGGCCCTTGCGAATACGGGAATCTACTCGAGGCCACCACGTTTTTGAAATATCGACTCGTGTCGGAGATCCAGTTGAACACAACCCTTTCCTGAGTTGTGTGAGCTGAGGCCCCGTCTGAGGCACTCCATGGGCTCGCTGAAGAGCGTCTGATGCCTTGATGTGTTGTCCAAGCAAAAGAGAAATCACATCGAGACTCTCTTCCATGGGTTGAGCTTCGAGCTCTTTGAAGAAAGCCACATAGTAGAGCGCAAAGAAGGAGTTCACGAACTTGAGCATCATGCCCTGCCCACACAGCTCTCCAACGGCAAATCTGCTCTCCCGACCGCTGCTTGGCAGTCCAGTCCTGGCCTTGCAAAGGAGAGCTGTTTCATACTCCGTTTGCGTCCGATGGTTCTCATAGTTCGTGAGAAATGTTGAAAGCCTTGCAGACTAGTGAATTTCAGAGACCTCCGACGACCCGAAGAGTAAGCTGCAGACACATCCAGCAAGAAGTTGGTGGTCTCCACATAAGCAGCAATGCCGAACTGGAACAGAATGATGCGATGATGCACCTGAGAATGTATCAGCGTGCACCTTGGAGCGTACGCGGTGAGGTTAGCTAGTTTTTGGGTAGCCGGCTTCGTTCTTGATGTTGTGGCGAATGAAGAGGAGAATGAGAATGCAAAGCATCTGGGAGCGGGCTTCAAAGCTCTCGGCACTCAAATCACTTTTCAGCAATCCTGAGACCCATGCGCAAACGCACGCAGCCACCGCCATGGCTGCAGCACTCACCAGGTAACTGCAGGGGCGCATGACTTAACACAAGAGTCAATTTCTTCCTATGATATCCAGCACTGCATGCTGCAAGAAGGGGCCGCTTTTCGCCTGCATGGGCTCCGCTAGATATCGCGTACGAATTTCATCAGGCACGTCGAGCGCACAAAGCACGCGACATCCATGCATTTATCCGGTTCCATCTTTGCCTCCGGCATGACAGGAAAGCAACTATGTTGCTCGAGTATATGTTACCCGCTGTCCTGGGATACAACAATGTGGAGCCATGCTTGCACCATGAAGGGTCAGACTACTTCTCAGAAGTTGTCATTGTGATCCCAGGAAGCATGTCTGCGCTCAGCTCTGCCATCAGGTCTGCCATTGTTAAGGGTTTTGGGGTCTCAACTGTAAGCTGCTGACCGTAAGTCCGCTAGACGATGGAACTAGCTGAAGAGCAGCTGACCGACTTGCATTACATTAACACTACGCCGCGTGCGGCAATGTGCATATCCTTCGAAGGGCACGAGTCACGTCTTTGAAAGCCATGGCCGGCCACTCTCTTCTCAGTCCAGCATGGCCAGGCCTGGTACATGGCACCGTGACACGCTGAATCATAAGACATCTGCATGTACAAGATGTCATGTTCTGGCCTTGCCATAGGTCACATAAGATGATGGCCTTGACGAAGGGACTGCAGTATCTCTACATGCAGTCCTGCACTACACGTGAGGAGCAAACCCAACTGCAGGTGGCGGCGTGCAACTCCTGCCAGGCAACAACAGCTAGAATAAAAATCACTTCGGGAGACGATGAACAGCCTCTGCAAGGATGCACGACGTGCCATTCCCAATGCGACAGGTGAGACCTCGACTTGCCAAGGCTGCAAAACGACATCGTGACACGAATGCCGAATGCCGAAATTTCCGAACGCTGAGGACATGGACGCTCCGTTGCCGCCCTTGCAGTGCAAACGCAATCTGCCTCAGAATATCGGCGACATTCAGGCGTGCAGCGCTTACTCTTTGTTTTGGAGGCTTGGATGGACAGGGTGCCTGCTGCTGTGCAGCTTCACAGGTCACCTTTTGTAATCTTCTTGCTGAACGAACAGGATCAAAATGCCAAATCGTTTAGAGGCCCTTTTTCTCTCCGCGTCCACATGCACAGACTGCCTATTGTCTTTCTCACCGGTGCCTCTGCGCTCTGCTCAGCCTGCTTCGTCTCTATGAAGATAAAGATCGAACGGAGCACCGTTGCAAACCGTCGCCATGCCAGCGATTTCATGAGGCCACCGCAAGGCAATTCGCGGCGATTCCCCCCTCGAGCGCGAAGCGTAGTCTCGGCACGATGTCCAAGGCCCACAAGCAGTGGACTTTTGAAGCCCTAGAACTTCAGCTACCGCAACGGGAACAAGGTCCGGGTGGGAACTGAAGATCCAATCTCGTCAGACTCCAACTCCGAGGCTGAAGGAGTCCTAAGTTCGGCACATTGACATGCAGCTCAATGCTAAAGGTCCTGTAGGGGCTTCATATCACCCTCCGAGCGTCCTCCACCCACTTTGGCACGATGTTGGAGACTGTACTTTCAACCAGCGTGACCATCCCGCTGAGGAGCCGCATCTCCGTGTCACTGAGACTGAAATCGAACAGCCGCGCATTCTCCTCCTTGGTCTGTGCGGCCAGCTTTTGCGTAAGTATGCAAGGTGCAGGCGCAAGGCAGCACTAAGCCTGGAACAACTGGTGTGTTCTATCGAATTATCGCACGTGCCCTCCGAGCCACGATTCTTGCAGCACTGGCCGACTTCGGGATGACGCCCGCGCCAAGCTGCAGCGCCCAGCGATGAAGGACCTTCAGGAGAAAGACCCAGAAATCCGGAAACCCTCTTCGGTTTCCGAAGCCCAATTGTATTCACATTTGGCCTGTGAAGGCGTCTTCTGTTTTCTAGCAGCCATGGCCGTGACATGCGGATCTTGCAAAGGTGGGATCACCCCCGGCCAAGGGTTGATCACCGAATATCCCATCATCACCTGAATCCAAAGCCACAGTGCTTGCCAGCTAAGGGCTTGGGACTTTTGGGACTTTTAAACCGAACGAGTTCACAATGCTCCCGCTTGAGCCATGCGACAATGTTTTTGTCCTTCAAGTAGCTCATGATGGAAACATCATGGTTGACTCGCTGCTCACCAGGTGTATACACCGAGAACTTGTTCTGCACATAAACAGGTGGTACGGTAGCGAAGCTCAACAGACTCTCCAACTCCTCTGGGCCAAAGTTGGAAACACCAAGCGCACGTATGCGCCCTTCGTGGTACAGCTGCTCCATGCTTTGCCAGGCTGCACGTGTGGCTTCCGATGAAGCTCCAGGCCCAGGCGAATGCAGCATGTACAAGTCTAGATAATCAGTGCGAAGCTCCCGAAGCTGAGCTTCGAAGCGAGCCCGTAAAGCAGTGTACTCCTCCGGGTTGCTTAACTTCGTAACAAGGAAAAGTTCATGCCTGGGTAAGCCGGCTGCAGCAACGGCTCGTCCGACTTCGGCTTCGTTGCCATAGGATTGCGCGGTATCCACATGTCTGTAGCCGATCTTCAGTGCATGCAGAGTGGCCTCGAAGCATTGCTGGCCAATCAGCTGCCATGTTCCAAAGCCCAGCACTGGCATTTCCACCCCATTGGCCAGCCGGACCTCTGCATCTCCAGGCTGCGCCTGAGGATGGGAAGGAAGTCGCAGGGACCGACCCCCGTACAGAAATGGGAGGCCTACTCTGACAGCCTCGCCGTCTAGCTGCATCCGCGTCGGCGGTGAGTGCGTCATCCAATCTCTCAGAGCATCGAAGACTTGTCGAGCATTCCCCACAGCGATCATCATGGTCTCGGCCGTCGGCTCTTTGAAGAAGGTCTCGATCTCTGCAGAAATCTGCGCAATGAGTGCAATGGTGCTTCTGTGCATCTGCCTTTCGGATTCTGGCAGGTTGGCCACGGCACGTCGCAAGTTGTTGCTCGCGTATCGCCAGGCCGTCATTGCTACGAAGGGGTTCTTGCAGCTGTTGCTGGGCCCATTATCGCAATCACGTACGCGTGGAAGCTCAGCAGCGAAGATCGCGGCTTGTGCGAAAGGGATGTCAAAGTCTTCTACCAGGGCAAAGATAATGACATCACCTACGAGCAATGTGCAAGTGGCCCATAGCGACACCAAGGGCCTCATGGATGCAGAAACCAGAGGATTGAGCCAAAAGCTCCCTTGCGATGCCATGAAATGCAATTTGAGGGCTTAGCTCGACATCGACTACGCTATCACATGACGGAGCACAGGGGCACCGAGTCTGCGGCGGTGCACAGGGGCCTGACGTCGGGTCGATGGCACTGTATGCGCAGGTGCCGGCCTGGTCAGCTTGGCTTGCTAATGCGGTCGACAGTTTTCACTCATCCCCAGCCTGGGGGTTGCCATTCAGCGGGCGCGATGGTGCACAAGGAGACGCATGTGGGCGGATCTGGCTGGGTTGGGCACAGGAGGTGGACGGCATGGGTGGGGGCAGCATGTGAGCCGGAGGCAGCGATGCTGGCTGTGACAACATAGGCTGTGGAAAGACGATTGATACAGCCTGCGGCAGGCGGTCGGTGCGGATGGCCCGCGGCGTGTTTGCACGCAGCGAAGCAGGAGCATCGACCGAAAGCAATTCACTGGCGAGCCCATTCGGCTGCACAGATCCTGTGCTGTGCCGTGGGCTGGCTGCTGTTTCCTCTGCGGGAGGGAGCGGCCCAGCCGCACTGGCCGGGAGCTTCCAATTAAGGCGTGGTGCTTTGAGTTCCGCCTGAGCCTTAGCGAATGATTCTGCAATGCTGGCTCTGGCCACGAAAGGTTCCAGATCCCGGGAGGGACTGGATGGACGTGAGTCGCCCCCCCAAGGCGAGCTCGGAGAGTTTGCCGCTTGACGGGAAGGCGTAGCTGTTTGAGCGGACTCGCGCGAGCGGCTCCTTCCGGAACATGTTCGCGAGCTGCATGGGACCGTCATAACGCTTGCACCTGGTGCGGTTGACCTTGGAACAAAATGCACGGCTATTGCTGCAGCAATTTGGTGCGAGACATGAACTTGCGAATGTGGGTAGTCGACCATGCCAAACGAGGTCTCCGAGGCGGCGAAGTGCTGCCTCACAGCTCGGCTTCAAAGCTCACGCACCAAAACTGCTTCGGGTCTCTCCGAAACTGTGCCAAAATGGCTGGCTCCCTGAGCATCCAGCTGCAATAGGTCTCGGAAGAAGGTGATGCAACGTCGCTCGTTGCATTCACCTGATGCCGAAGAATCCGCTTGTTCACTTGATGAACCCAGGCACGTCACCAAGGTCCACACGTCTGCTGCTTTGGACCACGGTCGACTGCCTGTGAACTGCAGAAAGTAGCAATCGGCTGTAGGCTTCCTGTGTCTGTCTCTCTCCGGCTACACTCTGCTTTCGTCTGTCGCTGTCTGTCTTCAAACGCATCGTTTCGATCTCTATGTCGTATACCTGTCCGGGCCTGCCTGTGCATATCCACATTTACGACGTGTGTGTGTGTCCATACACATGCGTATGTATGTATGTATGTATGTATGTATGTATGTATGTACGTATGCATGCATGGATGTATTTCTACTTCCCTATTTCTGGATCTCTGTCACTCTGTCCGTCCCGGTCATCTCATTCAGCTCGTCCGCACATGTACCTGCGCAACTATTCTTGTGGTCTCTCTTGTTGTTCATTCTGGCGAACGCCATGGGGCCGTTCGATAGAACTTTGTCAACCACGTCCCCTGAATGTTCAAGGTCACCATCGGCCCCCCACCCCCTCCGACCGTGGCACAACTCGCAGATTGGCGTGCCCAATGTCCAGAGGCTGCCTCCGTGTGTTCCGACCACATGTCTCTTACACCCAAGCAGCCGAATCGGCCACAGAGGTTGAAAATACTTGCCACCAGACTTGCTTCGCGAAGGTATGTATGGCGATGGTGATGGTGGCAGCTATTCTTTTGGTGGTACTGATGATGAAGTTGACGACGACAATGATGATGTTGAGCATGATGTCAAAAATGATCTCATTGTAGACTCGCGTGGCCGTCTAGAACAGCATAAGATCATGAGCAGTACCACCGGTGCCACAGCAAGAAGGAAGCTAAAGAGCAAGCACATAAGAACTTCAAGAAGGGCGGATGCGAGCCGCACGACCATAGTAGATGCAACTGTAGACATGTGTGGTGGTGGAGAGGATCAGAACAAGTGCTCTTAAAGTTCCATGTAACAGTAGTTGAGTCACTAGTCGTGACAACAAGTGCTTGTGTTACACGTGTTGCGTATTCCAATTCAGTCCAACCAAAGAATGAGCTACGGGCTAAGGGGGGTGCAGAGCCCGCCACAACAACATACAACAACGAAACCACAGGGGCTGTGGGTCCTGTGGGGTGGTTGTGGGTCTTGGGGTTCGAGGTTTAGCTTAAGCTTTTGAGTTTGGGGTTCAGTGTTGAGGTTGAAAGCTTCGAGTCGACAAAAGCTTAGGGAGGGTTTGGGGTGTAGGTTGGTTAGGGTTATGTTTTGCCTCAAGCTTAGAGCCTGCATTGGGTTGGGTGTAAGACGTAATAAAAACAGGAACACACGCTACGTTATAGGGTTTATGGCTTGCGTAGGGCTTGCGTAAAATCTTGCGTAAGATACCGGCCCTCTCTGTGACCCCTGGCCCCCCCCAGCACCCCACCAAACGGCCCCGACCCCTCTCGGCACACGCTAGCCCCTTCCCCCCGCACCCCTAGGCGGGGGTGCTGGGAACGCCAGACGTCTGACCAGATATGTCGTTTGCCCGGCGAAGCGCCAACATGTCGGACAGCTGGCTCCGCCTGCTGTGCCAAGCCGTTTGCCAACACAGGCTCACTGGAACCACATTTAAGGCCAAAGTGCACAGGATTTAATTCAAAGCCATGAATGCTTGCTAAGGGCCAGCGACTCCTGAAATATTTCCGCACAGTGAGAATCCATTTGCACATGGTCAGGCCATGTAGGGCTGCTTATGCAGCCACCGAAATTGATCAAGTTGGTTTGGAAATGAAGGGCTCGGCTACATCGTGGCCACCACCACCGGCGAAAGGCCCCAGTGTTCGCATCCGGAACCACGAATGCAAATCGAAATACAGACACCAAGTTTGACTGTCGAGGAATGTACGAACAGCTTTTCAAAAGTTACTTCGCTGAATACGGAAGCTTGCCTGGCACACTCAACACATTCACCCGTGACACTTTCCCGACTTGCATTCAAGTGCAGCCTATGACATCCTCCGAAAGCATTGATATGCTTCAAGTCATGCGAGCTATGGAGGGCTGCGTTTGTGGCAGTGTGTATGGTGATTGAGGGGCTACGGTGACGGGCACGGCTGAAGTCGCCACCTGTCGTGCCAAATCGGCATCCTGCGCTGTACGCCTTGTTGTGCTGCGTGCGGTCACCGCTTGCCAACAGGCATGTCTCTTATCTTGCTTTCCTCTCTGTGTTTCGGC